CTGCCTGCTCTCTTTTTACACAATATACAGCCATTTCCTGCTGGCGTCGGTCAAAACACCAGTTCAGTTATTAGCATGAGGCCAGGGTGAAAACCGCTAGCAAAGATGAAAATGTAGCCATTTTAACATGACACAAAACAAGCCTAAACATTTTAAAACTCCTACGCAACTAAGGAAGCCAAAGCAGCAATAAACCAAACGCCCTTTCTGATGGATCTGAGATCCGGCCTGAGCTCAGCAAAGGCAGCTCTGAGGAACACTGATATCAAACTTCAAAACAGGGAGACATTTTAGCTCCTGGATTTGTGGCATCCTGGAGTTGGGCCAGATCCTCTGAACTGGGTCCAGGTGGGGCCTGCCTGGGGGCCCGGGGGCAGGCCCGTCCAGGTCGCGGTGTTCCAGGTGAGTCATGGGCTGCTGCTCTGACAGAGGGAGGGGAGTGCCAGCCCTCGGGGGGAGGTTGCTGAGCTCTGCATTTACCAACTCAGCTGTGTGTCCTGACCTGCCTCCGCTCCTCGCTGCGAAACCTCAGGAAGGGGGGGGGAGAAAGCCCCCGGAGTGCGGCTGCAGCAGCAGAGCAGCGGTGCTGGTAGGAGGCTGACTGGGGACGACACTGTGTGCGGCTGTAATTACAGGGGGAGGCCACCAAAATGTATTTCCAGCCCCGCGGGGAGCCAGTGAGAGTGCTCAGCTACTCATTTGGCCTGGACAGCAGCTTATTTTCAGTGTGTGCTGTTAGGCAGCTCGCAAGGTCTCTGGAAACATATACTAGAACAACGAGTGTCTTTCACGGGTCACATCTGGGGCCAGGGGGAGTTTGGCTGGGGGGGGGGCGGCGGTTGGGGGGGGGGGCGGGGGGGGGGGGGGCGTACCTGCGGTGGGGGGGGGCGGGGGCGGGGGGGCTCGGGGGGGATTCGGATTTGGTCAGGCGACATGTTCCTCACCCTCTCTGAGAACAGGGCTGTTGAGACAGAGGACAGACGTCAGCCCCCCCCCGCGCTCTGCGTGCAGAAGCATGACCCAAAACGTCACTGCCCAACAAAGGTAGAGGGCCGAGTCTAAACGATGGCAGAACAGATGGAGGGCGCGTGTGTGTGTGTGTGTGTGTGTGTGTGTGTGTGGGGGGGGGGGGGTTCAATAAGGCAGTAAACTGACTTAAAGTGTGTTTAACTAAGTGCTGGGGAACTCCTTGGCTTGCTGGTGTGGGACTGGGTTTGTGGGGGGGCGGGGCTGTGAGGGAGCACATCTCAGCTGGGGTGTGGCTGCTGTGGGGCCGGAGGCTCCCACTGCCCCCCCCCCCAGCCCCTCAGTCATCTTTGACAGCCTGCATTCTACCAGTCAGTCATGGGGGGGGTGCTGCCAGACGTCTTTGGGCGTGCAAAAGCAGTCGGGTTAAAACTTGACCCGACACGAGAAGATCCTTTTCTGAAGAAAAGGCCGGGTTGTTCTGAACACTAAATCTTACCAAAGATTTGGGGGAAAATTCCAACTCCACTTTCACTGGAAACAGTGGTTTTAATCTTACCATTCCCACGTTTTAAAGAAGCCTAAACCACATCTGAATATAAAGCCTCAAAACACAGCGTCCGTGAACAGTTGGTCTTTTTGTTTGCAGGCTAACAACACTATCATCTTATTCACGTGTTATTACACGGATTAGTTGTTTTTTTTGCTGCTTTAAATAACAGTGATGTTTGGGTTAAGTTGTTTTTTTTTGTTGAAAAAAAATCTAAGGACAATGTTATTGCCATTTAAAGTAAATTCTGACTGATCCGCTGTTTATCTAACCGTACAGTTCTGGGTCAGTAGGGTTTTTTGGGCTGATCTGCAGAAGGAAAATGAGAAAACAGGTTTCTAATTACCTTTTCAAATCATGTAATTTAATCAAGGTTAAACATGAATACAGATAGAACCTTCTGCATCAGTTTCGTAACCATTTCCGGAGACCTTGTGGCCAGCGGAGCAGTACCAACATAAGCTGGGGGGGGCCGTGCAGCTCAGGTGTGAGCAGCAAAAGGAATGAACAAAAAGACAAAGTAGACCACCGCCATCTACAGTGTGCCTCTTTTTATGTCTGTGTGCGTGAAGGTGCATCTGCTCCACTAATGCCATGTTAGCTAATACCATAACGTGATGTAAACGCTGGAAACCCGAGCGATGCACTGCCCTCTGGTGGATGGATGACCACGCACAGCTCACACAGGAGCATGTGGACCGTTCAAGGCTCGCTAATGTTGAGGTCTGAGGGATTCATCCCTCCATCAGACCTGTTGCCACTTGTGTCATTAAGCATCCCTAAACTCTTACTTTAGGTTACGCTTTCAGATTGCGTTCAAAACAATGAGCGTACAATTTCAACTGGATTGAATTGAACTGTATGTTGCATTGAGAAGACATTTCTTTGGTATTCGGTTGAATAAATTCAAAGTAAATTAAACGCAAATAGCTTTTTTTCTTTTTAGAATAGTTTTTTTTTTTTTTAACCCTTGAATTTTTAATTGATCAGGATCAATTAACATGCTAACAGTTTAAAAACTGGAATGAAAACGTGAAACAGCCAGTATTTTTACAAAGACTCTGAGATCATCGAAAAACTAAAGAACTAAAGCTCAAAAATATTTTAAAATATTAATAGAATTTCTGTATGATAGGGACCAGAACATAAAGAATTTAAATTAAGAGTCGTCCAACACTTTGGAACATCTTTACATATTGTACTGGATAATGTTGTTGTTTTTTTGTTTTTTATAAAAAACAGCAACATGTGACCTCCTGATTTCTAAAATATCCAGAACTCTCAGAGGATGATCTTTACCTCCTTCCCCCTTTTTACCCTTAAAGCTGATGAGTTCAGATGTGTGCAGTTTTATGCTAATCTCTTTGGTAATAAAAAGAGCTTACAGATGAAAAGATAAAGAAATGGTTCCTGGCCCTGTGTAACAAGCCTGTATTATAAAACTGTAGCCTCCAACAATGAAGAAAGGAGAGGACAAACTAGATACAACAGGTTTGATGACTCAGAGGCATTAGGTGGTAGCTGCTCATTAAGCTCCGACACACACAGACATGCTTGATCCAACACAGACACGCAGTTTGGGCCTCATTACAGCTTTCTAATCCAAAACTTCAGATCTATCTGATAACTCTGCAGCCTAGGCAGAGAAAGTGTCATTAAAAGACTGTGTGTGACACATGTGCCTGTTTAGGATTCAGCTGGGCGTGGGAGGAATTTCCTCAAACAGCGGTGGCACAGTCTGACTAAAATGGTAAGATAAGAAAAAAACACAGACACAGAAAGATTATTTTCTGTTGCCTAAATTGCCATCTGTCTTCCCCCAACAGCACAGAAAGTCTCAATCTGTGCCCCGGGGGTCTTTTTTTGGACAGGCGCACAAAGTGGATCCCTTCAGCCAGCAGACAAAGAGCCGTGTTCAGCCTGCTGGGGGGGGGGGCTTCTGCCAGACACGCTGACATTTACCCAGACAGCACCGAGCACTGCCACGGACTGAATGTCAAGAGTCCCAAACGCAGGCCGGGATCACGCTGTGCCTCTCAAGTGTGCTGACAGGGGAAATTTTGAAAACCAACAACTGAGCTGCTGCACGTGGTGGAAAATGGTGACAACTCAAATCTGAGGGCAGGAGCCATAGTTTACTTTCATGGAGCGAAATGGGCAGCCTCAACAGCCTAAACTTGAACAATCCTCCACCAGGCCTCTTCCTTTGGCAGCTCAGGAACGGATGGGGAGAGGAGCAGCCATGGGCCCTAAACAGAGGCCGGGAAGTCTCCACCGAACAGACAGCCGAACGGCCACTTTATGGCTAAGCCAACGCTCAGCCAACCACTCCCTGCACTACTCATAGCCCATCTGTTCTGGCCCTACAGATAAGAGTTTACTCACTAACCACTGTCTGATACACCTTTTATAACCAAAGGGAACAGATGACAAGGCAGAGCTTACAACAGCTCTGGTTAGAGTTACACAATTACTATGCCAAACCCTGGAAACATGAGGAGTACCTCAAGTCAGAGTCAGACTACAGCAATAAGAGATCCTCTAAAAACTAACATGTAAACCTTAAACTTCACATAAGGAAAAATAAATAAATAAAAGAACGTTATTACCAGTGCTCATGACTTCTGCTTCTCACTGGGTAAATGGTGATTTATTAATGTGATAATGTGGCTCCAGCTGTGCCTTTACAAACATAGACTTTTAGCCTCCATGTCTTGGCAAAACAATAATCACTTATCACATCCGTGTAATTTAGCACGTCCAATTCCAGTGTATGCTCTGACAAAGCTATTTTCCTTCTCAGCGTGTTGTACTCTGGTGGCTTTTAGCAGTTTTAGGAAAATGGAGATTGTTTAGTGTGGGATCCTTTAACTGCTGAACTGTTAACATACAGAGATGAAATCATAATCATACTTTAACAGATGCTCAATATTAAGTTTGTACTCACCAACAAGTTCATTGGGGTCCTTTTTTTCAGCCTCTGGGATCTGCAATAAAAAGAGGGAGGAGGGGGAAAGAGGGCAAAAGAAACAGACACTGGACATTTAGGTCTCCCTTCAACAGAAAGATGCATATAAATCGGACATAGTGTGCTGTGTGGTGTAACGCTTAAGTGCACAGTAGCAGACGCAGTTCATTATGGAGAACTGTGCTTGAGAGGAGATGTTCGTAAACGTAAGAGCTGGATACAGAGCTCACTCCATGTTGGACCCGTGGCCTACAAATCCCAAGTGCTACAGAACCGGAGAACAGCTTCTCAGAAGCACAAGAAAACAGAAAAGTAAATCTAGGCCCTTTCCAGAAAAAGCCTGGGCTCAGCAGAGGAGGAGGAGGAGGGGGGGGGGAGTCTCTGAAATATCTCGCCCGTAGTGACAACAATCTGGGAGTAACACGGCTTCAGCACAAAGGAACAGTCCTGCCATTCCCATGAATCACTCCGTCGCCTAGCAACCACACCAGCACATCAAGGGCTGGTTTTTGAACGCTGTCGGATCATAAAGAGGATGGCTGATGGCTGATGGGGGGGGGGGGGGGGTTAAAGGGAAGTCTGGCCAGAATCCAAACAGAGAAAGGTAAGGACGATCGATAGGTAGATGGCACTCAACACCTCACTTATCCCTGACGGACGCTTCTCATTTAGCTGCCCTTCACGTGAAGTACGGAGAAGTTTAAAAAGACTGCGGCAGCAGCTCTCCAGCTCAGAGGATAAACCTCTGCCCCCCCAAACAGAGACCGCGTCATAAACATGTAAAAAGACCGTAATAAGAATGATTCAATTCTGATTTCAACTTTCTCCCACTGTCAATAAGCCATCTGTCCATCTGTAGAAATCCCCACGGCACATGGACAGGTCGACCGTCCAGAGGCCAAACCTCCACAGGGAGAGGCTATTTTTGCCAAAAACAGACATTTTAACATGTTTTTCTGTGCTAACAAGTCCAAAAATAAATGCACAATCTGATCAAATCTGCAACAATCATACAAAGAAAAAGCTTTGAAAAGCAGGTTTGTGGAACAGATGGCTGTTTTTTATTTAAGGGAAGTGTTTCGGAGTGGAACAAATATTTCACTTTTGTTTCTTACACCTTAAGAAACAAACAAAAAAAACATTACTAACTGAACTGCAGGGCGTGTTCTGGAGCAGCTGGCTGAAATCCTACGATTTGTCCTGATACAAGTTAAGCTGTCCTCAACCTGAATGCAGTTCTGGGCGGTTGCTTAGTTACGATGTTCTGTCAGGAAACCAAAAACAACCCAGTGAAATAGGCAATGAGCGTGCAAAATACATAACTCCATTTCAAGCCACTGTGGTTTTGAATGGTTATTATATTTGGTCTATAGTTTGTTCTGTGATGTTTCCAGTTTTGGGTTCATTATTTCATATCTATTAGCTGCTAGGCTCTTAGTTCAGATAAAGAGCCAGAGGCTGGAGCCAAGTTCACTCTTTCAGAGTTTCTGACCTTGAAGGAGGGCTGAGTGACAGGAGGTCCACTCTTTAGCATTTTCCCTACAGACTTAGCCCCTCTCTGACCTCTCTCTGACACCGTTAAACTTCCAACAATTTGGTCCTGTTGTTTCCTCCATTTCATTTCCCTGCAAGTAGAAAATAAAAGGATGTTCTTCTCCACAGTTTGGTGACTAACAGTTAGTCCTTCATTTTTTGTAGAATCATGTATCTCGTGTTTATGAGTTTTAGGATGATGGAAACAGACAAGTTGAAGGTATTTTCCACTCATTGGGAATTCAGTCCTATCTCCTCTGCACATGTCCGGATGACCACCCATCGAAATGATGACATGTAAACAGAAAAAAACTGTTTCAAACGTCACAGTTTCAGTTAAGAGGCGAGAAAACAGGGGAAGCAGAGGACCTGCAGCGCTCCGCCGGCCAAACCCTGTTAGCCCCACAGACACTGCAGCCCCGAACGCGCTGCACAGCCCCCCCGACGCTGCCGGCCGGGCTCAGAGGCTCTGCCACATTCTGTGCAGGCGGCCAGCGTTCAGCCATCAATCTGAGCCGCCGCTCAGCCCGCAGAGCAGCCAACAGCCGATGCGTCATCCTCCGTTTTGCTGACCCGGTGCTGACACTACGCAGATGCTGCTGGACAGATGTGGCGCCGGCATCACACCTGAGGGCAGTTGCTGCTATGCATCATTATTCATGAGCTCTTAAAACGCTCCCCTAGCTTCGGGAGCTGCGTGTCTTTGAGCTCCATCACTGGGGGGTGAGGGCGCCATCGATCTTAATGCATTGATTTGACAAAAGATATTCCTTTTTAACATTCCTACAAAGGCCTGGCAGGTTGGGCTACAGTCAGGCTGCTCATTCCCATAAATATTTAAAGGGAATGAGTAAATAACAGCCAGGGCCTGTGTGGTGATGCAGGGAGCTCAGAGGGATTCCTTCAGATCAACACAAGAATGAAAAATACATCAAAGCCACATGTTTTTGGAACGCCATCATGCCTGGGTGCTAAAGGAAATATTCAGAAACTAAACTTAAAGTGAGCGTTATCCCATGAGGCAGCACAAAACACCTTCCAGCTCTGTCTTAGGAAATGTTTCTGCTCTGGGGTTTGATGTGGCCATGTCAGGACAGGCACTCTGAGCAAATCCTATCATGAAATCAGCTAGAACAACCACACTGTTTAAGTTGTCTTTACGTTATCTCTCCTTCAGATATGACAACAACAAAAAATACTAAGGAAAACATTATCTTATCAGATTCCTGTCAAACCAAACCTCAGAATGACTCACTGCTGGCTGGGAGCTCAATGACCTGCATCAAACAGTGCGGCAATAAGCTGGCCTGCTGACGCACACAGATATACACACAGCAGGGGGGGGGGTTAGTAAAGAAAGAAGCAGGGTGCTCTGACAAACAAAGCTGCTGGATTAACTCTCCACTTGACAAAACAGGATTTAGACACACCAGAATGCAGAAAACAGACAACTGGAATCATGCGGGCTGCCAGTGGCCACACATGCTCCAAACCCACAGCGCCACCTAGTGGACACGGACGTTTTCTAAACCAAATCCACCCCCCGCTCCAACAGGGGGCTGTTTAAATACCTCAAAATCATCAGCGTCTCTCCCCTCGTCTGATTCGTCCATCTCCTATAAAAACAAAAATGCAGAAGGTTAACACTGTAAGCGTCGACAGGGACAGGGAGGCAACGGGGGGGGGGGCGGCCCCCAAAAAGGAAACCCGAGGGGTTTCCGCTCTATGCCCACGTCTGCTGACTAACTAGGGGGAAAAGTCGGGCAGGGAAATGGAGATGGATGTTCACAGGTACGACTCCATAGCTCCCGTTAGTGGCTGATGTAACAATTAAAAAGCAACTTCAAATAAATAAATGATATATACACATATATATATATATATATATATATATATATATATATATATATATGGTTCCTAATTGTCTCACTCAATCACAAAAAGGCTCCCATACATAACTGTATCAGCCCTTAGTTAATTATCATCTATTTACCAATTTATTAATGATCCGTTTATCATTAATTATCCATTTGATTGATCCTTTACAAACCGGGTCCACTTCACGGTTTGATCTCAGGATAGTCGGAGCGTGTTAGCGGTCAGCAGACGGTGTGTTTTCAGAGCAAACTACAAATTGGATTGGCTCATGTGCCCTAAATGACCATCTGAAAATGTGCTTTGACCCATCATGAAAGCCTGATGAGAAAACATTTTCAAACAACTTAAAACTTGCAAACATCACAAACACAAAGGGCTTCTTTTGACTTGCGTGTCGGGTAAAGAGTCGCGTGGCTGCTGTTGCCTTGGTCAGCGCGTTTACTGCGGGTTTATTGCAACCTGGAGAGTCTCAAATGACAACTAAAGCCTCTCTCATTTCTGTTTGTTTTAAATCAGACACCATAAAAAGCATCAATCTATAACAGTAGTGTAACCCATAAAGACAACATGCTCACCAGCTGCCCTTTTTTAATAGCAATCTGAATAAAATCATGGAAATGCCACAGTGTGATGGTAGTCGTTTAGACATAGCTACACCTTAAATCAAACACAAAGGCTGAGCTAATGGTATCAATTCTACAAATAAAGAACCTCAAACACAATCAGAACAAGCCACAACATCCTCAAAAACAACCGGGTCTGCATAAAGTTTAACACATTGGACACTGCTATAAACAACCTGTGCGCGACTATTCTGTAGATCATTCTGGCCTTAAATTAAAAAACTGGAACATATGTTGAATGACCATCTGACCGGCTGTAGATGAACTGTGGATGAACTAAGAATTTAAGAAATATCCAGATTTATGCACTCATTTCCCCCTTTTAAAGATCACGGCAGGACATTAACCTTTGTACACAAGGTTAGGAATGCTAGTGTACATTTAAATAAGCCAGCCAATCAATGTTTTGCTTTTACTTTTGGAAACTGCGTTCTAATTTTGGCCTCTTCTTCCACAACGTCAGGAGATCTGATGGATCCACTGGTCTTATCCACAAAGCCATGACTGCACATAGGGATGCTTTCATCTATTCACCTATTTCACCTATTATGTTGTTCCTAAAAGGGGCTTCAGGCAGAAAGATAATGGTTTATTATAGTCTACATGTCGGCTGAAAGATCATTGCTGTTTCAAATGCTTGTGATAAGGTTGATGATTAAAGTTCAACATGGACTTTAATGAAATGTCTGACAGGAATCACGATGCAGTTTGGCCTCAGTTCCTCACCTTTTCATCTGCAATGCCAGTTTGTCCTGTCTCCAAAGCAGGAGTATGCATGGGTCAGAATAAGGAGTGAGGGACCTCACATTTTCCCATCAAGTTTCTCTTTATGGATCACAAACTTTCCGTGGAAAGTGGTGTACGTGGTGGTGTTTTGTGAGCAAACAACTTTTATAAATGAGACCCCTGGTCATATTCTATACCTGTAAGTCACAGGTGTCGAACTACAAGTCCTCAAAGGCCGCTGTCCTGCAGGTTTTAGAGGTGTCTCTGTTTCAACACCCCTGATTCACATCAAGTCCATAAACAGGCCGGTGCAAAGCTCAACAATGTCCAGACAAGCTCCAATTTAAGCAGAATCAGTGGGCAGAAGCAAGAAAATGTCTAAAGCTGCAGGACTGCGGCCCTGGAGACCGCAGTTTGACACAGCTGCTATAAGTGGAACACGTTGGTTTATAGAAGCATGTTTTTTACATGTTCTGTCATAAGTGTGCTCCTACTGGTCTGGTAACAGCCAAAGTTAGCGTTTTATGTTTCTAGCACTGCATAGTGGAGCTGGATGTAGTAAAGCTGGACCACTCCAGGGATGTCTGATGTGGCACTTCATTTTAGTCATAACATTTCTCACGTGTTTCTTCAACTCCAAGGTAAAGGCAAGACCAAAAAGGCGGTAGATCAAAACAAGAGGATGAGGCATTCAGAGCTCAAACACTAACCGAGTTGCTATCCCGACTGTCTTCATCTCCAGAAACTTTGTCTTCAACATCCTCAGTCCGGTTCAAGTCGTCCTCACCATAACCATACACAAGGCCTCCTGCATGCCCCCCTGGAAAAATATGAGGGGGAAAGTACACAATGACCAATGGTAAGGAAAATGGAGGAAGAATGTTTTGATAAAATCTCAGTTCAGTTAGTTTTACCATACACAGGCCAAATGGTTTGATTTATGACTTCACAGTTTTGCAAACGTTCCACAACGTTTTAACATACTTCATTAAACGCAGGAATGGAAAAAACTGTCTCCAAAAGGTGTAATTTATGTTGACATTTTAAAAACAAGTATCGCAAACCATTTTTGAAAGTACGTTTGGTTAGCTAAAAGCTAATGTTAGCTTCCACATGACGGCCCGTCACGGGCAATACTTCGTGTTTTATACCCCACAGAGATTCGCACAAAATTATAAGAAGGTAAGTGTGAGATAACATGCCTGAATCTTCGGTGTCGGGGTCAGAGTCGGGCTCTGAATCATCTCCATAAGCAGCTAAAGAAGAAAGAGGAGCACTCTTTTTACCGCTCGCCATTTCAGACGGTTCGTCGCATAAACGATTCGTCGCAGGGTAATAACGTCGGAGAAACGAAGCTGCGCAGTAAGCGATGTGCGCAACCAACAGCGTCTCACGTTGGTATTCAGTAAAATCCAATAAAAAGGATGGGAATTATAGGAAAAACAATGATTGTTCAGAGCCAATGTAGTCGTGTTCGTGAAAACATTATTAACCATCACTAACCATCATTGTCTGTCGCGGTATTGTTATGAAAATTTTTGGCAAAGTGGAGCATTTGTTAAAAGAACAATTTAAAGGACACATTTCCTGCCAGGAAGTCTGTTTTTTCGTCTGCGTGTATATACCAACTTCATATCCGTGTCTGAATTTTAGTTTTCTCAACAAGTCTAACCCTTCATCTGCTGTCTCCAATGTTGTTGTGCTGTTCGTGTGTACATAAATCCTTTCCCATCTCTTGGTCCGATGGCATAGTTTGAGTGTTCAAAGGGATTATTTTAATATCATCTTACATCCTCTAACCTGTGGTTTAACATGTACCCCTCCTTTGAGGAAGTCAAAAAAGATGTACGGCCTTTTTCAATTTGGCTCTTAAAAACACAACAGATTATCATTTTGTAAACTTTTTTGAGAAAGTGTGATTTAGTGCTGAACATATATTATAACTGACTTATAAATCAATAACATTTTGACAGAAGCAAAGAGTTTTAGGTTCTGTCCCTTTTAAACTCTGCAATCACTGACATGTGACCCCTTGACGCTCAAAGGTTCCATTAAATAGACACCAAACAGAAAAGAAGGCTGGGTTTTTGGAGTTCAGTTCCATTGCTTTCATTCAATCAGTGCAAAGAACACAGAATTTGGCACATTTGTGGACTAATGAAACATTTGATTGCATCTTCATTTACATTTAAGATAGTGAAATAGATGATTCAAAACAGTAAAAAGACTCTGTAATCTGGTCACTAGCAGATGTAAAAAACAGAAAGAAAATGACCCTTTGGTGGGGGGAAAAATCAAACACAATTCTCCTCTATTAGGTAACACAGACTCAGAAGTCTTTTAGATCACTGCATTTTTGGAGCTCTTCAGCGGGTGCTTCCTTTGCGTCTCTACTTGGGGGCGGCAGCAGCATCCATACAGGAGAGCAAAGACTACCAGAGACAGGGTGCCCAGGACAAACACCATCATGACCACAAAGCCGCCCAGCGCCCAGGGCTCCTGCTGCAGGCGGAACAGGAACCAGTCCACCCAGTCCTCAGCGGAGCCCGCGGGCTGCTGAGGCTCCGCCATGCTGCACGGGGGGGGATAGAGCAAACACAGGCTTCACTCCACACATAACGCCGCTGTAGACAGTGGACACGCACTTTATGGCCACATAACTGTGGAATTTACAGATCTTTTGGTGAGTTTGGCAAGTTTCTGAATCAGGAAGCTCCAAACATGGATCTCATTCATCCAGAACTCACCTCACCACTGCCATGTCCTGCCAGGTGATCCTCTCACAGCTCAGTGAGTCTGCCCCCTTTTTTCTGCACTACACAAAGGCAAGGGGACTCCAAACATCCCAAACATCAGCGGTACCAGTTACTTGGTGATCAGGAAAGCCATTCTGTAAACCCAGGACAGTACTCTGGTTTTCATTTCCTTTGTGGCACAGCAAAGTAAAAACACCAGCGCTCCTGGTTAATGTTTAAACCCAAAATGTTGACTGTTGAGGCCAGAGAAGGGGTGGTGATAAGGCATGCCCTCTCTGCCAAGACACATTTTCTCTGATGGGAGCCGGGCCAGAGCTTAGTTATAAACAATATCACATAACAGGATGATCATGTCACGAAACCTTTACAAAAGCTGCTTCCATTTATACAGTTTTATTTAATAAAGATAACAAAATCAGTTAAGTACATTTACATATGGTAAGAACAACCAAACAAATCAGCAAACGGGTTCGGTCATGCCCTTAAAAGTGGAACGTCACATTGCCCCTGTGCGCAAACACTGGACAATAAAGACAATAAAACCCAGACAGCTCAGCTTTTCCCTTTGGCAGTGTAAAAAACTGTTTGTCATGGCAGAGCCAGCAGAGGGTGCTCTCTCTCTCTCTTTCTTTTCAGAGGATGGCATCAGATGAAACTTTCAAGTCCACATGACACACACACATACACACACACACGCACACACACACACATTGGAATGCATGCTTCCCATGTTGTTTATCATGGTGCAGATGACGGTCTACAGGCTACAGAGCAGCTTGTAAGGCCTGGAATGAAAGAGCCTCTCACAGCAGAGCCCAGAGCAGCTCGTGCACGCTCTCTTCTTCCACGAACCCGCCGCACAGCCCTCCATTGTTCTGCTTCATAATGAGTCTTGAGGAGCCGTGCCTCTCTGCCGTTTCGTGTGGATTCCAGTGGCGTGGCCTCTGGGTGCTGATGCAGACGTCCCCCCCCAGTGCTGGAAACGTCCCTGACCCCCCATCCTTCAGATCAGGTCCCTTTGATGGCGTCTCGCCGGATCCGTCCAAACAAAGCAGTGACCCTGACGAGAATAACTGACCCCTCTGTACCTCTGATTAAGGGCCTTTTGCCAGGTGGGGTGTTACATGTCAAACTGAAGGTGGGCTGGGGTGGGGGGGGGTTGCATTTCTGGATGGAGTCTGATCTCAGACAGACTGCAGAGGCTGGACTCTGGAGGCCTGGTATTTGGGTTTCCCGCAGGAGCAGCACTGGACGCAGGTCAGCACCACCATGAACAGAAAGGTGGCTGCAACACAAACAGGAGCAACGGTCAGCGACACAGCTCACACCACTCCGCTGGGTTTGCATATGTCCGGCCGCACAGGTCAGGTCATGCTTCACCGGACAGAAAACCACCTACCTGCGAAGAGGACGAGGACACAGAAGGCCCCCAGCTCCACAGAGCTTGCGTTTGGGAGCCCCTGCAGCTTGATCCACACCTTCTGAAGAATGCCCAGAAACTCTCCCTCGTCCATGCTGGCCTGTGGATGGACACAGAGTCAAACAAAGACGCAAGAACCGCTTTAGCTCGACTCCCAAGGGGTGTCCGTGGAGGTTAATGCCCTCGAAAAGGACGAGAGGACGAAGGATAGGAGCGTGCCGCTCACTTGTGTGCAAACCTGAGGGAGTTATTTCAAGATTCAGCTCCACCCTCTCAAACGTCCACCCTGTTTTTACTGAACCACCCTGGCCAGGCCATGTGCTGTCACTCCCTAAATACTTGGAGTGGTCCCTCATTACATATCAGCACCCCTAATTAGCCGGCGGGCGGACTTCCTGTGTGAGCAGATGTGTGTGCGTGCGTGGGTCTGTGCTCAGAGAGGAGAAACGGCTAAACAGGGCGACCTATTTCAGGCCTGGCATTTGAAGCATGACGCCCGCCGTGGTCACAGGAGCATCTGTGTGTGGGCGAGGGCCCCTGGACGGTACCGGCCGGAGATAACGGACAGGGCTTCATCACAGACGTCTCCAGAGACGCCAGATCAATGCCTCACTATTTATAATGTACTCTTTTCTTTAAGATCTTTTAAAAAATTAGCCCTTAAACACTCAAAAATGTTGTTTGTTTGTTTTTTGCTGTTCAACTTTACAGTCCTCAGATTATAATATTTACTATGAGAGGAAAGAAGCAGCAACTCTTTAGCAATAACCTGCAGTTGTTTTTGGATCAGAAAATCTGATGGAGAATCATTTATTTACGCCTAAACTTTTTTGGTTGTGTGCCAAATCCTCTGTTTTATTAATTTTGCACCAAATTTTTGAGAAATTTAGCTATGGCTCCTACTTTTTTCTAACTTTCATTTTCATGCAATAGTTCTTTTACTCGTACGGACACGTTTTCTCTCTGATACGAGGGTAAAAAGGCTCGTTTTCAGCCTAAAGTCGGTGACTTCTGGGTTACTGATGTTGTTACTGCGCTAATCCGCCTCAGCCCGTTTGTTATTAGACGGTATTAAAACGGTTTATTTCATCCCTCAGAAAGACTGAGCCTGCTTTAGCTTCTGCTCCAACCTGGGGAATGAGAAAGCTAATAAAAAGCCCTTACGTTTTAGCTAAAAGCAGGCTGTCGTCTAAAGGCTAACTCTTCTCAGCACACAACCGGACCCCTCATTCGGACCCGGTAAAAAGCCCCAAACAGGCGGCCCGGAGCGGGACCCGGACCCGGACCCGGACCCGGACCGGGACCGGGTCAGCTGCCTGGGGGAGCAGAAAACGGGGGGGGACTGTACCTGAGAGGTGTTCCGCTCGCGTTGCTAGACTAACGCCTGCTCCTGAACACATGCTGTTTACGTTCAACTCCCCGGTTCGTTCCGTTTAGAATCTGTTCGGTGGGTTTACTGTCGTTCCGGGAGGGGGGGGGGGGGTTTTGGAACGTCGAACCGCTGTTTACATTCAAATAAACTCCATTTACTATCACTTTATTCATCTCCAAAGGGGTTCAAACGAGTTTTAAAATTAAAATACAGCGAGGAAAATGAGAATTTGAACATTATTGCTATTGCTATTTTGTAGGTTCTCCCACTTAGAAATCATGGAGGAGTCTGAAATTGTCATCGTAGGTGCATGTCTGTGTGAGACATTATCCAACAAAAAAATCCAGAAATCACAATGTGTGATTTTTAACTATTTATTTGTATAATTCAGCTGCAAATACGTATTTGAACACCTATCAACAACCTATCTATCAGCTATCAATTCTGACCCTCACACATCTGTTAGTCTGCCTTCAAAATGTCCGCCTCCACTCCATTAATTATCCTAGATTAGATGCACCTGTTGGAGGTCGTTAGCTGCATAAAGACACCTGTCCACCCCGTACAACCAGTAAGAATCCAACTTCTAACATGGCCAAGACCAAAGAGCTGTCAAAATACATTACAGACAAAACTGTACGCCTCCACAAGGCTGGAAAGGGCTAAGGGGAGAAACCAGCCCAGAACCACACAGGGGGAGCTGGTCAATGACCTGAAAAGAGCTGGGACCACCGTTTCCAAGGTTACTGTTGTTAATACAGTAAGACGTCATGGTTTGAAATCATGCGTGTCAGGAAGGTTCCACTGCTTAAACCAGCACAGGTCAAGGCCCGTCTTAAGTCTGCCAATGACCATTTAGATGACCCAGAGGAGTCATGGGAGAAGGTCCCATGGTCAGCTGAGACCAGAATAGAACTTTTTGGTCATAATTCCACTAACTGTGTTTGGAGGAAGAAGAAAGACGAGTACCATCCCAAGAACACCATCCCTACTGTGAAGCATGGGGGTGGTAGCATCATGCTTTGGGGTGTTTTTCTGCTCATGGGACAGGGCGACTGCACTGTATTAGGGGAGAAGATGACCAGGGTAATGTGTTTTGAGATTTTGGGGAACAACCTCCTTCCCTCAGAGCATTAAAGATGTGTGGAGGCTGGGTCACACAGCCAGGAGAACCAAGGAGGGGGTCCAGAAGAACCATATCAGGGTTCTGCCGTGGCCTAGCCAGGCTCCAGACCTAAACCCAATAGGGAATCTTTAGAGGGAGCTCAAACTCCGTGTTTCTCAGTCACAGCCCAGAAACCTGACTGATCTAGAGAAGATCTGTGTGGAGGAATGGGCCAAAGCTCTCCTGCAGTGTGAAAAACTACAGGTAACCTTTGACCCCTGTCACTGCAAGGCTACTGTACCAAGGATTAACATTGATTTTCTCATTTGCAGCTGTATCATACAAATAAATAGTGAATTTATTAATCTCACATTGCTGAACAAACGCATTTGTTGTTGCTTTGCTTTTGCTTTTGTTTATGGCCCCTCCAGCCCCCCCCCCCCCCCCACCTGCTTGCCTCTGACCTCTGCTGCTGGCCCTTTTCCAGCCAGCGGTCTGCTGGTCGTCTTTGTCCCTCCTCTGCGCCCCCGTGCAGCGTTTGAGGGGCGGCACAGACCCGAAGCAGCTCCTTCTGTGGAGCAGTGTGTGTGTGTGTGTGTGTGTGTGTGGGGTGGGGGGGGGACGCGGTGCCCCCGCATTTAGCTGCGTTTGTCTACTAACGACAGAGCTCAGTGCTTCTACAGAGTCCTGATCTGGACTTTATCACCTGATAAATCAACTGAAGTGTTGCACAGAACTAAGCAGAGTATCGGGTGACGCACAAATGAGTGAAAACAAAACGAGGAAAACCACGAACCTCAGCTCCAGTCACAGCGTCTCTTTTTCCACTCGCTGCTTCTGGTCCTGCAGAAGGACCCCAGCAGCCCCTCGATGTCCAGCAGACCTCGACCCCTGCTAGATTCCAGCCCCCCTCTCTTCTCTTCTGTCTGCGGGGGGGTTTGTTACTCTGCGTCTGATTGGCCGGTTACGGTTCTCAGTGGCAGAGTAGCTCCGGACCTTTGGGGGAACCTAACCCTCTGAGCCCGGCCTGCTCCTCCAGCAGCACTTCACTTTCTCCTGCTGTTCTCAGGAAGTTTGTGTACCTCCTTCTTCTTCTTGTCCTCCTCTCCGACCCCCCCCCCCCC